GCACAGTGGTTATAAGCAAAAAGTGTTTGCTTGGCAAATCAGGTATTTTAAATGTTCTAGAAACTCGTCACATCAAGTTTTATATATTTTGGAACCTGCCACTCTCATATCTAAGCACGGCACACATCTGTTATTTATTCTTCTATCAGACCTGATCCTGCATTTGAAGAAGGCAGAGGAAATGCTACACCCACATAGAACACCAATGACCTCATAGAGCTCTGTTCTCTAAACACAGCAGCTTTCTTCAATGCCATCCGCTGTAGGATCAGAGACATAATCTCTTAAATGTATGCACCAAACTAAATGAATCCAATTATTTACATGTAATTAGGGAGAGGGGTATTCCCAATGCCAAAAACTAAATCTGACTGGAGACATTATTAGGATGACAATAAGATTTCCATGTACTTTTTAACACAGCCTCTTGTGTATCAGCAAAAATATGCTTATTGTCAGGGCTGTTTTGTTTGTAAAACATTTCCATAGAAAATGCATGCAAAAAAGCACATGTGTAAGCTTTTGAATAGAGACCATTTTTCCTGTACTGTATTCTGTAGTCCCCTGGCACAGTAAGGTCTCTGGTCTGCCAGTGGGATGCCTAGGTATTCCATGATTCAGTAATATATTTATTAATAAATAGACAATACCCTGAGTCACCCAATGGCATGTGTTGTAATCTGCCTCAATAAGTAAAAATGGATCACATCTGAAAAAAAAAAATTAAAATAATTTCAGAGCAATATCACTCTGCACAACATGGAGGTATCAGGCAAAACAACACAGCAACCACAGCAAAGAGTTAGAATAATGGTAATATGAGGAATCTGGTTTTCCCCTGGGAAAGCATGAAGAGCACAGGGTACTGAAAGTTCCTACCCTTATCAGCCTGGCCTTGCCCCTTGTAAGTGTGATGTGCTCCTGCACATCTGTACCTCCTTTATTGTAATCCTTTGTATAGCAAAGAAATTTCGAATCACCCCTCTGCACCAAGATAAATTTCACCGAGAGAGAACAAAAATGAGAAATAAAAACAGAGTTAACAATATTCATAGGATCAAAGGAAAGTAGGGCTGGAAGGGACCTCAAACCTATCTAGTCCAGCCCTTTACACAAGGCAGGATCATCCCTGACCTAAAACATCCCAGCCATGTGTCTAGTTAACCCACCCTTGAAAATTTCCAAGGATGGAGATTTTACAACTTTTCTAGGTAGCACGTTTCAATACTTGACCACCCACACAGTTAGAAAGTTCTAATTTCCAACCTGAATTTCCTATACTGAAGTTTGAGGCCACTGCTCCTAGCTTTGTTCCTTATACCCAGACAAAGTCAAACGCCTTCCTCTCTGTAATCACCCTTCAGGTATTTGAGGACAGTTATCAAATCCTCCCACAGCTTTCTCTTGTTCAGACTGAATAGTCATCATTCTTTTATCCTTTCCTCATAAGTCATGCTTTCCAGACCTCTAATCATTTGTGTGACTGTGCTAGAATTCTAACATGTCCACATCCTCTGCAAAGAATGGGGCCCAAAACTAGACAAGGCACTCTGGTGAGACCTCACCAGTTCTGAACAGAGTGGAAGAAACACTTACCTTGATTTGCAAGTGACCCCTGTTAATCAATAGTATGCTGTTTGGGGTTTTTTTGTTTTTGTTTTTTGGGGGGCGGGGGGGCATTTGCTAACAAGAACAGATCAGTCCTTCTCTACAGCACCACAGCCTAGTCACATATTCCCAGTCTGTATTTGTGCACATAATTATTCCATACCAAGTGCAAGACTTTGCACTTGTGTTGAATTTTATCTGCTTGATTCCAAACTATTTGTCCAGTTTATCCTAGCCCTAACCTCCAGAGTGTCTGCAACCCAGCCAACTTGTTTTAATCTATAAATTTGCTAGGCATACACTCAAGCCCATCCAAATCATGAATGAAGATGTTAAAACAATAGCAGACCCAGGAGAGACCCCCTGGAGAGCTCCTCTTGATACCTTTTCCCAACGGAACATTGAGTCACCAATGACCACACATTGAGCACAATGTTCAGTGCTCCAACCAGTTCTGTATCCACAGTGCAGAATATCATGGGAGATACTGTCAAAAGCCTTGCTAAAAAGTCAAGGTATATCACATCCACTGCTCTTCCCCCATCTACAGAACCGGTCACCTTATCATAGTAGGAAATAGGTGGTCAGGCATGACTTGCTCTGGGTAAATCTATGCTGGCTGTTATTGATCAGCTTCTTCTCCTCTAGGTGCTTTGAAATAGATTTCTTGAGGACCTGCTCCATGATTTTTGCAGGTTTTGAGATGAGACTTACTGGCCTGTAATTCCTTGGATCTTCCTTCTTCTCTCTCATATCTTCAGTTTTAAAAAAATGTAGAAATGGTTCTTTGCTGTGTCAGCTTTTCAGAACAAGTTTTCTGTTAGCAACAGAACACTGATCTATTAACATTTGATCCATTTATGTCAGACACTTTTCAGCAGCAGCACTTTAAACAAAATCAGCCAAAGAGGTGACTTAATGTTATAACATGAAGGAGGTGCCTCTGTTTAAGTGTCAATTAGTCAGAAAGTTATACTATTTGATTTAGCTATTCAAAAGATATTTCTATCAGACAATATGGGTGGTCCAATCCCACAAAAACTGCTTTTTCTTCTCCAAATAAAATTTGCTGGATTTCCATACAATATTAAGACTACGGGAGAGAATGCGAGCTTCTCTTTCTGAGTAAGATTTTACTCTTGGTAAGAATAAACTCACTTACTGAAATTCCTACTTACTCCTTCAAAATAGAGAGTGGGTGGGACTTAAGTGGGAGCAAGGTTTATCCTAATGTGATACTGTATTTCATTTTTTGAAAGTGAGTGAAGAAATAATTACAGCACACAAATGGTTTTGATTAGTTTTTTGGCATTACGCTTTTCCTTCTGATATAATTTAAGGTTTAATGCCCACTCTTCAATGGAAGTCAAAGCCAGGTTTCCTTGGTTGCTGCTTCCACTGTTGGATGTTAAATTCTTCTCCTGAATCTTTGTTCAAATGTCTTCTGATCCTTAAATGTTAATACAGAGACTGGCAGATAGTGTTGTGTTTCAATCTGTTATGCAACTTGGCTTCAACATCTGCAAGCGCTAACGTGGTTGCTTTCCCAGGCTCCCAATTTCTCAGTAATATAATGCACTGCTTTGCATGAAGTCAGCTTACTTTCCTTTGAATCTCATTTTTCTAAAGATGCTGATTTTTCCAGTGATAGAAAGATCCAGGCATGTATTTATTTTGAATTCTACATATCACTGAAAATGACTTATTGAAGACTCTAAGCAAGTTAGCTAAATATTAAACATATAAATTAGCCTAATAAAAATGATAAATGCATGCAGTAACCTCCTCAAAAGTTAGGAAATGGGAAATTCCACCCCAGCCACAGATCTCCCAGAACACCAATTTAGCCTTTAGCAGAGCCCCTCCAACCCCAAATCCCTTGGCTTTGCACAGTTCTCCAAAGGAATTTAGGGTTGTATAATACTGAACTGATAGTCTGCATTTTAAGGACACCTACCTTTGCTATTTTCAGCAGTAAAGTTCTGCTTTCCTTCCTCATTAGGCAAGTTGATTGCTACTTCCACAAGATACCAGGTATGCATTAATTACAGATTATCCCCCCAGAAACAGCTATTCAGGATCAACCTTTAGCAGAGAGCATACCTCCTGTTTTTTCCCAGAGTTTGACAAATATCTCAGAGTTACTATATTCAAAAAGGGTCAATATATCAGGGAAATAAAATGATTCTAAGTAGGTATTCAACTTCTTCAGCATTCCATTTTTCTCCCTATTTGAAGCAAATATTTTTATTGCCACGTCAATAAAAACGAAGAGCCAATATAACAGCATAACTCGCATTGCAAAACACAACGTACTAAGGATGACAATGAACCTAACAGCACTCTAAGGCATTTAGTAGTATGCATACAATCCTCATATGTCCACAAGGATTTTTTTTTAGTTTAGTTTAAGGTTTTAAGCCATTGGAATTCTTTAAAGAGAATTATTTAAAATTCACATATCATTTTTTGGAGATATATTTTATGCTTGCTGTTTTTGTTTTGGGTTTTATTGGTAGTATTTAGGATGCCAGGAGCCCTACACAGTAGCTGTGACTAGTAAGCAGGAGTAGGATAGAAGTAGAAGTAATGGTGAGTAGAAATGGGGGTACAAGGGCACTCTGGGGGCAGTACAAAACTTGGACATTTACTGGCATATCTAGTACAAAGTCTCAGAAAGCAGAAATACATTCTTATTCATACAGAATAAGTAACATTGGAAAACAGACTAATCTCTTACTCTAACAGCTGTGGAAAACCCCCTCTCCAGGTTACCACTAAATGCAGTATTTGATCCAACCTCGCAGTGCTTTTGGGCTACTACTTAAAGCAGGTAACTTCCTATGAGTTACTGAGAGCCTCTCAAGACCGCATCCAAAATTCTTCAGATATACTACTTGCTAATATATCCTTTTAGGCAAAATGCAAATTCCATTTCTATCTTTAAAATAAAGATGCAGAAGCAACACACTTTGCTTCTTCAAACAATTCACTTCTTCAAACAAACCTACAAGTACACTAAATCATGAAGAATATTCAAAGGCATAGAAAGTTACTCTGACACTACACCAAAGAAGAAGATTTCTTTCTGACTGTAATAAACTTAAGTAGCCTTCCTGTAAAGTGTTCAAAGTCAGAGGAAGGGAACGCAACAAACAATAGAAAACATCATACCAGAGCCCTCAAATAGCAATTTTCTAAAACATTGATGAGCCAACAGACAAATAATCATCAGAGTAAACAAGTGAGATATGTATTAGCTAAGGGAACATTAAAAGAAAAAAAAGAAGAGACCAACCTTTGACATTTTTATTACACAGTTCAAATAATACCATAAAAACATGAGGAAGGAATGTTGGAAGAGAGAAATAAGTGGCATTCATTGCTCTTACCTTTGCCATCTGGGCCTGCACGCCATTTGCCTTGAGAGATGCTACTGCTTTCTGTGCTGCTGCTGGACTGTCAAAATCTACAAAACCATAACCTAAAAGAAAACACACACACACACACACACAGAAGACTTCATTAATATCTATAAACAACCTCCCACTCTATCAAACTCTCCCAGATTCCTCTAACTGATTGCACTCCTGCCACCAACAGACACCACATCTGTATTCCTTTCATCTTTGCTTCCTTTAAATAAATGGTATTTAAAGAAATGCTATCCCTTCAGCCTCAAAGTACTGTGAAGGTTTTTTTTTTTTATCTGCAGAAAAAGAAGGTAGTACCTTCTTTACGATTTTTCCCTCCCTTGGGAATTGGGAAGGAAAAGCAACACCTGTGCTAAAGGGGCTTCATCAAGCAATTGACCTCATTTTGCCATCTCTAGGAAAAGAATATGAACTCTGTCCTTCCAGTCTGTGTCCTGCTCTCACCTAGATTATTTCCCCACCTCCCAATCCTGGGATTAGGACAGAACCATGGGTTTTTGGTTGGGGAAGGGGGGCAGTTAGGAAGGAATTTGTCTCTCTCTGCTTGATTTGTTCATGTAAAATAGGTTTTTCACCTTCCCTACAGCAAGTCAGAAGGTGAACTCAGAAGGAAAGGTTGCAGCTGCCAGGGGTCTGGTGTCTCTAGCACATGTGCTCATTTCCCAATAAACCAGAACTAGGAATGGATTAAGGAAAGTCTTCCCCTAGGAAAGCTATGGTAATACTGTTTTGTGTAGCAAGAGATAATGACCATTCCCTTAACTCTGAAAGGCAAGGGAGCTAACAGCAGGCCTCTTCCAGGTGGAAGCGATTAAGGCTGGACTCATGACTTGTACCATATGGGTTATCACTAGCTATTTCCAGAAAAGTCAGGTTCATAAAGTTGTAATTAAACTGTGTCCGTTCCTTCTGGTCCTTTTTTCCTGTATGTTGGGGAAAGTGCCCAGTCCTCTCCTAGGGAGTGCTATAGAGAGCTCGCTCTGAATCTTCAGTTTCAGACCTAAAATATACCTGGAAGCAATCATTCGATTTTCAAAAGAACCCTAAATACTTGATTTTCAAAAAAGTGTTTCGGTATCTACTTCCCAATTTTCAATAGAGACAGGAACTTCAGAAAATCCCTTCAGACACCTCTTAACATCTCAAGGTGCCGAAGTGCCTTTCAGAATGGGGCCTGGACACCTAACTCCTTAGGCTCTTCAGAAAGCTCTGTCTACATCTTCCTAAGAATTACCCCAGGGGCATGCCTTATGCAAAGAGGCTACAACCACTGCTCACTCCCTTGTTATCTCCCCTGGAGCCCATAAGGCTGACACTGGGTTGTCTGTAAGCTTCAATAATACTGTATTTAATTGAATATGAAATGAGGTTACCCCTACCATCAGCATAAGGAAAAAAGCCCCTTGTCTTATTTTCACATATGAAGTAGAGGGGGAAGCATACAGCTGCTGCAGTTCTGACTCAAACCCTAAGCATGGGTTGGGGTCAGAGTCAGACCCACAGCCTGCCCGCTGCCCCCCACCCCTCCCTTGACTCTCAGGCACAGCTCACTTCTAGTTGGGTTTGCATTGGGGTCTCCCCCAGGCACCAAACACCCAGAAGCCCCTTCCCCTGCACAACTAATCAGGGCACTGCTGCGTGGCCTGCCAAAGGATAAGTTTTCACATTCTGTATTCTGGGATAAAGCAGTCTGAGCAGTGTCTGACAGTCAGGGAGAGAGAGGCTGAGACTGGGAAGTTGGAGGCTGAAAGGGGCAGAGACTGGAGAGAGCAGGAGGGGAAGAGGCAGAGACTGAGGGGAGGAAGAGGAGGGGCAAGAGGCTATTGGGAGCTGGGAGTGGGGGGGTCAGGTGGCAGGAAGGCTGTAGGTGAAAGAAGTGGATGGGGTAGAGGGCAAGGGGGTGACCTGCCCCCCTCCCAGCCACTGCGTTCCCTGCTGTAACAGGGGTGGGGAAGGGGTGGAATTCAAGACAACCCTCTAATACTTAGATTCTAGCAAATTTTAACAAGTTTATACGTTTTCCATATATAGAATTTTATTATTGGGAGGGATAATCTTATATTCAGAGATGTTAGAGTAAATACAGTATTAGAACCAGTATGTTTATAGCGTAACAGCTTCTTTGCAGACATATCTAGTAAACAGTTCTATTTAACATAATACAGTAGGGCAGACACAAATATGCTGCTTTCCTGCCATGTTCATTTTTATTAGCATTTTTACCTAATGTGCGACTCTCCCCTCCATCTCTATTCCCTCCCCTCCCACCCAAAAAAGGATGAGAACACCTGACCCCAAAGCTTACAATTTATTTGGTATTTAGACTTCAATGTACACAATTGGTAGTCCAATGTAATAGGAATTTTATGCTCATGACCTTATCTTTTTTCCCTGGTTAAGGAATTATTTGCAAAGTTTTAAGCTTAATAAACAAACAAACAAACCAACCAACCAACCAAGATAGTTATTGAAAGAAAATGCCCCTAAACCAAAGAAGAACTTTCAGGCATTGTTCTGATAATATATGTAAGGCCTGAACCTCCCTGTTCCATTTCCTCCTTTTTTTTGTCCTATATTTACTTAGAACAATAATATACATTAAGGGAAGCCACTGAGCAATTGTGCATTGTGACTGTGTGCCCCACAAGCACCGCAATGAAAAAGTACAATGGAATTCAATTATCAGTTTGTTTTTTGTTTTTAATTAACGATTTACTATTTTCCCATCTGATTCCTCCTCCTCTCTCTCACTCGGCATTTGGAAATGAACTTGTTACACAGGCCAGTGTGCTTTGCAATGTTCTCAAAAAATGCTCCATGGAGCAGCTGTGAAGTTTGTATTACTAACACACTAAGAAAACTTGGGTCTTTCTTGGAACTGCACAAAGCCTTTGTTCTCTGGATGATACAAAAGCCTAAACACAGAGTCAAGGGAGAGGAAAAAGAGATTCAGCCTTGGCAAGGAGGAAATAAGATCTGATGAAACTTCAGACTGACAATACAGATGACCCTGACATAAAGCAAGAGCTGCCAGCTGGGATACCGGAAGCCCACCAGAAAGTCAGATACCACCATTAAAGCTTAGAGAGTCTGATTAGAACGTTATCCTTGAACGAACATCAGAGCCAACCCATTTTGGGAAGAGGAGTTGTTACTGCTAGGAGACTGTATTTCACTTTGTTTTTCACAATGTTCCTGTCCTTGTGCAGGGGAGAATTGCTAAACTGTGTCTTAAAGGTTGACACTGGAAAAATATTGAAATGGTACAAGTAGGTACATGCGGAGATTCACAATAGGCTTATACTGCAGGATGCATATATTTGCTTTGGAAAAAAGGCACGTAATTTTTTAATGAAATTACCTATAGAATAATATTAGGCAGAAATTAGCATGTGAAACCAATTTAGTTCTCCAGGAAATCTGCACTAACATGTATAAGTTTGGGATGCTTTTAGGGATCTTACTTTAGCTAGCAGGTTTATGTAATGTAATCAGTCAATCAAGATTTAAGTCACCCCATAAGATTTCATTTTTAATCACTTCTATATATTTTTTTTCTAATTGCCAGAAGGATACATGTTAATTGTTAAAGGTTTCTCTCTTCCCATTAAAGTTAGTGAAAGATTCAAAGTGAAAACTTTATACCTTCGGTCATAGCCAGTTGTTCACTGCATATTCTTTCGTTAATTCTGTTAGCATAGCTGCAAAGTTGCTCTTATTCCGTCCTTCCAGTTAATTCTCATTCCAAGTACCTTTCTTATCCTCCCCCCCACCCATCATATCCCCAAACCACACAGAACATCAGGAGAAAATCACTCCAAGGCTGAAAACCAATCCAAAGCACATCAATCTACAGTAAGGGAAGCCAAGTTCCCAGGCTGCTTTAGCATTCAAGTATCCTTAAAAGAACTCTGCAAGGCTATAGAGTTGTGAGGCAGACACGTTAATTCCCTTTCAATAATTTATGTTGGCTGTTTAGATGCTTTAAATCTATGATGGTGACTTATGTTGGTCTATTTCACTTTTGTTTATAATCACAGTTTCATTCTCTGGTCTCATGCACTAACAAAATGCTGTTGAATTTGGGTATTTATAAAAAAAAGTAGACATTCATGTGCAACATTAAAGAAAACAAAAAAGAATACCACATACCTCTCCTACCCTCACATTCCACTCCCTATCTTTCTGAACCACATTATAAACTTAGATTGTAAATTGTCTGGTCTATGGATTTTTTTTTCTACATGTTTGTAAATCTCTTAGCAACATGGGCTCTGTTCCGTAATTGGGATTCTGAGGTGCTGCTTTAAGTAAATAGCAAATAACAATAGTAATTAAAAAATCTGCACAAAACTATTTTCGCTAATTTTAAAAGCATTTTATTTCATTTTTATTCTTTAAATTACTCTAAGTTTAAAAGCCCCAACCTCTTAATATCCTCATTAAAACTCAGGACCAAACTGACCCCTGGCTTAAATAGTTTGACTCTGTTGGAGTGAGAGTAAGGTGATTTGAGCTGTCCAGTGTTAGAACTAATATGCTGGTTTCCTTGGATTTATAGAATGATTCATACTAGCAGCTTGTAAATGTAATCAGAAAAAATAAGACAAGGTTGTCCATACCAACTACCAAACCTTTCCTCTAAGAAATAAAATGACAATGTAATTTTGTTTTGGCCCGATGCCATTAAAGCTAAATAATTAGGTTTAAGGAATCAAAATTGTGATTCTGTACCTGTGGAGGGAAAGAAAATAGCTAAGCATCATCAAGCATAAGTTTATGGGTTGCTGTAAAAAGGGCTACCTGAACACACAGGCAGACCCTGAACATCTAAGTCTCCGATAACCTAAACGGCTGGGGGCCTCCTCATCTCAGCTTCTCAGTTCCATAATTAAGCTTGGCAGTAGGTTCAAATGAATTAAAACTGAATGTCACTATTTTCTCAACAAATCCCTCATCCTTGTTTTTTCTTACTTGTCAGGAGAAGACCAGCAGAACAGCAATTAGCAGTAAGCAGTGCAGTGAAAAAGAACCAAGTATACACTAATTA